GACGCCTTAAGACCCTCTCGCCCCTTACCTTCCCTCTCCTGCCCAGGGCCTGACATGGCAACATTTCGTGGTTTCCGTGCTGTGAGGTGTGGGTCTCTTTCAGGAGCGTCCTGAGAACACCACTGCCTGGGGATGTAGTGGTTTAAGGAGTTGGACTCCCATATGGGTTACTGGGGTTCCAGTCCTGGACCTGGAGGCTCAAAAATTATGCTCCTGCATGCCCAAAGTCACAGAGGGAGAGTGGAGAAGAAGGGATTGCTGTGTAGCCATCCTGCCTGGGGGGTGATTTCTCATTTTCCCTCTCATTGTCTCTGTCCAGCGCTCCCACTTTATGACTTAAACCTAAAAAAAAAAAAGAGAGAGAGAGAGAGAGCAAGCAATGAGTGAATTAACATCTACTTCTTACCAAACACTCACACATTTAAGAATTTCTTTGCACTACTGTATTTGTGCAAATTGAAATTTGTTTACAATATTGGATTAGTGATTGCATTGTTAAATTTAGTGACCTATATACCTTTTGGGTATTGAAATACTTTATTGAATTTAGCATACATTAAAGTGTGACTTTGAAAAAATGATTTACGTTGTCCCAATAGGATATATTTTCGTTAACGCTGCCAAAGACTCTGGTATGTTCTGTCACCACGACTTAAAAAGGAGGTCTGACCCAAGCTTGTCAAGCAAAGAGGTTTATTCAAGCTTAAACCTGAAGATGGGGGACCAGCAGATGGCGTAGTGGTTATGTCACTGGACTCCCACATAGTCCACTGCGGTTGGAGTCCTAGGCCCAGTGACTTAAAACTCAGCCTGGGCACATGTACACAGATGCCCAAAATCCCTAGAGGAGAACAGAGGGGAAGAGATTGTGGCATGGCCATCCTTGTGGGGTGATTTCTCGCCTTCTGTCTCTCAAGCCAGTGCATGGTACCTTATAGCAAAAATCTCTCGGGACCAGCAGGTGGTGTGGTGGTTAAGGAGCTGGACACTTGCACATGGCCGGCTGCAGTTTGAGCCCTGGACCTGGTGGCTTATTCTTACTTTCCCTCTCTCTCTCAGTATGTGTCTCTCTCTGGTGAAATTAAAACAAATGAATGAATAAATAAAGTTAAATAAGATAATTAAAAAAAAATCTCTCTCAAAACAAAACAAAATCTGAGGCAGGGCCATAAGGAGCAAGACTTCAGACGACAGTATACCCTGGGACCAATAGTTGGTGTAATGGCTATGTTGCTGGACTCCTACGTAGTCGACCGCAATTCGAGTCCTGGACTCGGTGGCTTAAACTCACACCGGGTGTGTGTACATGCATGCCCAAGATCCTGAGAGGAGAATGGAAGAGAAAGGGATTGCAGTGTGGCCATCCCCCCTGGGGGGTGATTTCTTGCTTTATGTCTCCCTGACTTTCTGGCTAGTGCATGTGCCCTGTAGCAAAAAACTCTAAATAAATAAATAAATAAATAAATAAATAAATAAATAAAGAGGGCCGTATACTCAGAAATGGCAAGGTCGCAGTTTCTTTAATTGGGAATATTGGCAAGGATGATTATTACAAAGTGTGTTTTGCTAAGCACTCACAACATTGGTTTGCAAGAACAGCATCAGTTCCTTATTGGCTTTTAATATATCACGTGTCATCAGGTTTTGCAACATAGCCAGAGGCAGGGGGTGAAGTTACAGTGAACAACAGGGAGACTTGGGGATACTTTTCCTTCGGTGCCAGCAGATCTATGAATTCTTTGCTAAGAAATGTCTGCCAGGGGCCAGCAGATCGTGTGGTGGTGAAGGCGCTGGACTCCCATGTGGTCCACCATGTTTCAAGACCTGGATCCAGGAGCTTGAAACTCATGCGGGGGTGCCTACGTGTGCCCCAAATCCCTAGAGGAGAATGGAGGAGAAGGGATTGTGGTGTGGCCCTCCCCCCTTGAAGGAGGTGATTTCTGGCTTTCTGTCTGTCTTTCTGGCAAGCGTACACACCCTATAGCAAAAAGTCAAAAAAAAAAAAAGTGTCTGTGAGCAATTTCTTCAGACAGGTGTGTGAGAGACAATAACTGAGGTTTCATACATTCATCTCTGAGACCAGTTTTTACCCAAACCTCCTCATTCCTAGCCTTGGTAATCTTCTCACAGACTTGCATTTGGTTAATGTTTCTTTGAGTAAAACTCTAATTAGGTTTCTGTCACTACAATCTTTTAACCTATAGTTCAGAATATGTAAGTTAGTTATTAAGGCCAGAATGAGAGCTTCTTTTAACTTCCTTAAAAGTAATAAAGTCATGGGACCAGCAGATGGCATAATGGTTATGTCGCTGGACTCTCACATAGTTGACCGCGATTTGGGTACTGGACCTGGTGGCTTAAAACTCACCCTGGGCGCATGTGCATGCGTGCCCAAAATCCCAAGAGGAGAATAGAGGAAAAGGGATTATAGTGTGGCTACCCCCCCGGGGAGTGAATTCTCATGTTCTCTGTCTCTGGTGGGTGCACACTCCCTATAGCAAAAATCTCTCTCTCTAAAATAAAAAAAAGCAATAAAATCATAGTAAGCATAGTTAATATTTCAAGCCCAGCCCCTCTCAAGGTCCAGTTAATTTAAAATGCCTTATCAATCTTGTTTCTTTCCTCAGTCTTTAGAAGAACTTGTTCATATGATGAGGTCTTTTTATTTTTCCTTCCTTCCTTCTGCAGGATAGCACAGAACGGCTAAAACTACAAATTCCCAGACTCCCTGAGATCAAGCCACAGCCCACTCACTGACTCCAGGGTCTTTGGCAAATTAAGTAAACCCTGGAAACCTGTTTCTGATCTGTAAAATGGAATGATGCTTCCTCATCGGTAAGATATGAATTTAAAAAACAGTATCCAGCACATGGGATTGTTTCAAAATGTTAAATAGCTCTAATAGTGCGGCACAATAAGCACTGAATACAGGACTTATAATTAATAGCTGTTATTTCTGGTGCTGTGTGCAATCAAAGGACTATTGCAATGCATTTTTTATTTTTGGAGAGGTTTTTGCTATAGGGCACATGTGCTCACTAGAAAGACAGATAGAGACAGAGTCAAAAAGCCAGAAATCACTCCCAGGAGGGATGGTCACGCTGCAATCCTTTCTCCTCCATTCTCCTCTCCGGATTTTGGGCATGCACACACATGCACCTGGCGTGAGTTTAAGCCACTGGGTCTGGGACTCAAACCGTGGTCAACTACATGGGAGTCCAGCAACATAACCATTATGCCATTGGTCCTGCAATGCTTTTATTTTATTTATTTATTTATTTATTTATTTATTTATTTGGAGAGATTTTCACTGTAGGGCGCGTGCGCTCGCCAGACAGACAGAGAGAGACATAGAGACAGAAAGCGAGAAATCACCCCCCAGGGGGGATGGTCACGCCGCAATCCCTTCTCCTCCATTCTCCTCTCGGGATCTTGGGCACGCACGCACACACGCCCAGCGTGAGTTTTTTAAGCCACCGGGTCCAGGACACGAACCGCGGTCGGCTACGTGGGAATCCAGCGACATAGCCATTACGCTAACTGCTGGTTCCCTTTATTTATTTTTTTTGAGAGGTTTTTGCTGTAGGGCGCGTGTGCTCGCCAGGAAGACAGAGAGACAGAGAGATAGAAAGCGAGAAATCACCTCCCCCAAGGGGATGGCCACACCGCAATCCCTTCTCCTCCATTGTCCTCTTGGGATCTTGGGTACGCACGCACATGTGCCCGGCATGAGTTTAAGCCACTGGGTCCGGGACTTGAACTGTAGTCGACTACCTGGGAGTTCAGCAACATAGCCATTAGCGTAACTGCTGATTCCCCACAATGCATATTTAAAAGTTTCTTTGTTCCATGAATGAGAGAAACAGAGAAAGAGAAAGACCACACCCTTAACAGGATTTTAGTGCAACCATACGCTCCTGGTCTTAGTCAGGCCCTGGTCATGGGCATGCCTATACTCAGGGAGGTTTCTGGGGGCACACACAGAACCTTCCCTGTGGATCAGTCATAGAGAGCATCGCATTTTACCCCATGCACTACCACACACCCCTTTTTATAATGCATTTAAAAGCATTTTACAGTCTGGATCCATGGTGCTGCAGTACTGGGCTGTCAAAGGAGTCAGATTCCACATTGCAGTTGAGATCCCAGCCAAGCCACTCTGAGACATGCTGGGCAGCGGGCAAGTGCCCAACAACTGAGGGACCGGAGGACTGGAGGAAGGGGACTGTGGCATGACCAGCCCTTTGGAAGGTGCTCCTCTCTCTTTCACATGTGTCTGCTCACGTTCTGTCATGAA